CAACAGGGAAATAGTGGAGCTAAATGAAAAACTAAAACAATTGGACTGAATAGACATATATAGATCACTTCACCCTGAAAGAGCTGAATACACATTCTTCTCAAGTGCACATGGAACATTCTCTAGGATAGACCATATGTTGGGAAACAAGGCAAGCCTCTACAAATTTTAAAAAACTGAAATGATAACAAGCATCTTCTCAGATCATAGTGCTATAAGGCTAGAAATTAATTACAAGAAAAAAGCTGAGAAAGGCACAAAGATGTGGAGAGTAAACAACACACTACTGAACAAGCAATGGATCATTGAAGAAATTAAAGAAGAAATCAAAAAATACCTGGAAACAAATGAAAATGATAGCATGCCATACCAACTCATATGGGATACAGCAAAAGCTGTATTAAGAGGAAAATTCATCGCAATACAGGCACATCTTAACAAACAAGAAAAATCCCAAATAAGCAACCTTAAAGCACACCTAACTGAACTAGAGAAAAGAGAACAAATGAAGCCCAAAGTCAGCAGAAGGAGAGAAATAATAAAAATCAGAGCAGAAATAAATACTATTGAAAAGAAAAAGGCAGTAGAAAGGATCAATGAGACAAAGAGATGGTTCTTTGAGAAGATAAATAAAATCGACAAACCACTAGCCAGACTTATAAAGAAAAAAAGGGAGAAAGCTCAAATAAACAAAATCAGAAATGAGCGAGGAGAAATAACAACAGACTCTGCAGAAATACAACAGATTATAAGAGAATACTACAAGAAACTATATGCCAACAGAATGGATAACCTAGAGGAAATGGATAAATTCTTGGACTCCTACAATCTCCCAAAGCTCACTCAAGAAGAGGCAGACAATTTGAACAGACCAATCACAAGGAAAGAGATTGAAACAGCAGTCAGAAACATCCCAAAGAATAAAACCCCAGGACCAGATGGCTTTCCTGGGGAATTCTACCAAACTTTCAGAGAGGATTTAATACGTATCCTTTTCAAGCTATTCCAAAAAATTAGGGAAGATGGAACACTTCCTAACACATTCTATGAGGCCAACATCACGCTGATACCCAAACCTGACAAGGACACCACGAAAAAAGAGAACTACAGGCCAACATCACTGATGAACATAGATGCAAAAATTCTAAACAAAATGTTGCCAACCAGAATTCAGCAATTCATCAAAAGAATCATACATCAGGATCAGGTGGGATTCATACCAGGGACACAGGGACGGTTCAACATCCGCAAATCAATCAACGTGATACACCACATCAACAAACTGAGGAATAAAAACCACATGATCATCTCAATAGATGCAGAGAAGGCATTTGACAAGATCCAACAGCCATTTATGATAAAAACTCTGAACAAAATGGGCATAGAAGGAAACTACCTCAACATAATAAAGGCCATATACGACAAACCCATAGCCAACATCATACTCAATGGGCAAAAACTGAACCCCATACCCCTGAAAACAGGAACGAGACAAGGATGCCCTCTATCACCACTCTTATTTAACATAGCACTGGAGGTCCTGGCCAGAGCAATCAGGCAAGAAAAAGGAATAAAAGGAATCCAAATAGGGAGGGAAGAAGTGAAACTCTCGCTGTTTGCAGACGACATGATCTTATATATAGAAAACTCCAAAGAATCCATTGGAAAACTGTTAGAAGTAATCAACAACTACAGCAAAGTTGCAGGGTATAAAATCAATCTGCAACCAACAGAAAAAGAACTCAAGAATACAATACCATTCACAATCGCAACAAAAGGAATGAAATATCTTGGGGTAAATTTAACTAAGGAAGTGAAGGACTATATAATGAAAATTACAAGGCCTTTCTGAGAGAATTGGATGACGACATAAGGAGATGGAAAGATATTCCATGTACATGGATTGGAAGAATCAACATAGGGTCTACAGATTCAATGCCATCCCAATCAGAATCCCAATGACATTCTTTACAGAATTAGAACAAAGAATCCTAAAATTCATATGGGGCAACAAAAGACCCCGAATTGCTAAAGCAATCCTGAGAAAAAAGAACAAAACGGGAGGCATCACAATCCCTGACTTCAAAACATACTACAAAGCTACAGTAATCAAAACAGCATGGTACTGGTACAAAAGCAGGTGCACAGATCAATGGAACAGAATTGAAAGCCCAGAAATAAAACCACACATCTATGGACAGCTTATCTTTGACAAAGGAGCTGAGGGCATACAATGGAGAAAAGAAAGTCTTTTCAACAAATGGTGCTGGGAAAACTGGAAAGCCACATGTAAAAGAATGAAAATTGACCATTCTTTTTCACCATTCACCAAAATAAACTCAAAATGGATCAAAGACCTAAAGGTGAGACCTGAAACCATAAGGCTTCTGGAAGAAAACGTAGGCAGTACACTCTTTGACATCAGTATTAAAAGGATCTTTTCGGACACCATGCCTTCTCAGAAAAGGGAAACAATAGAAAGAATAAACAAATGGGACTTCATCAGATTAAAGAGCTTCTTCAAGGCAAATGAAAACAGGATTGAAACAAAAAAATAACCCAATAACTGGGAAAAAATATTTGCAAGTCATATATCTGACAAAGGCTTAATATCCATAATATATAAAGAACTCTCGCAACTCAACAACAAAACATCAAACAACCCAATCAAAAAACGGGCTGGAGACATGAACAGACATTTCTCCAAAGAAGATATTGTGATGGCCAATAGGTACATGAAAAGATGCTCATCATCGCTGATCATCAGGGAAATGCAAATCAAAACTACACTAAGATATCACCTTACACTCGTTAGAATAACAAAAATATCTAAAACTAATAGCAACAAATGTTGGAGAGGTTGCAGAGAAAAAGGAACCCTCATACACTGCTGGTGGGAATGCAAACTGGTGCAGCCACTTTGGAAAACAGTATGGAGATTCCTCAAAAAATTAAAAATAGAAATACCATACGATCCAGCCATCCCACTACTGGGTATTTATCCAAAGAGCTTGAAGTCAGCAATCCCAAAAGTCCTATGCACCCCAATGTTTATTGCAGCACTGTTTACAATAGCCAAGACGTGGAAGCAACCTAAGCGTCCAGCAACAGACGAATGGATAAAGAAGATGTGGTACATATATACAATGGAATACTACTCAGCTGCAAAACAGAACCAAATCATTCCATTTGCAATAACATGGATGGACCTTGAGAGAATTATGTTAAGTGAAATAAGCCAGCGAGAGAAGGACAACCTGTGTATGACTCCACTCATATGAGGAATTTAAAATTATGGACTAAGAACAGTTTAGTGGATACCAGGGGAAAGGTGGGGTGGGGGGTGGGCACAAAGGGTGAAGTGGTGCACCTACAACATGACTGACAAACATTAATGTACAACTGAAATTTCAAAAGATTGTAACCTATCAATAACTCAATAAAAAAAAAATGTTCTGGAAAAAGAACCTGAATTATTTCAAACTGTAGGTAAACTAAAACACCTAATCTTTAAAATGAGGATAAGTCGTACTCTCACAAAGTTGTTATTATTGTAAAGAACCTTCATTTCTTTAACTGAGGTAAAAAGAATCCAAAAGGATTTTCCAGGCACCAAGTATATCCCAGACAATGCAACAGTACAAGACTCAAAGACGGTAGAAGACATTGTTCCTAATTATGTGGACAATGTTCAGGTCTGACTGGAAGGACAGCATCACAATACTGTGTTATAGGTTGAATCACATCCCCCCAAAGTTCATATGTTGAAGTCCTAACCCCCAGTACTTCAGAATTTAATCAAGTTAAAATGAAGTCATTGGAGTGGGCCTAGATCCAATATGACAGGCGCCCTTATAAAAAGGAAATATTTAGAGATAGACATCCACACAAGGAATCACCATATGAAGATGAAGGCTGAGGTCAGGGTGATGCTTCTACAAACCAAGGAACAACAAAGATTGCAGCAAACCACCAGAAGCTAGAGGGGAGGCATGGAACAGATTCTTCCCCACAACGCTTAGATGGAACCAATCCTGCCAACAGCTTAATCTCAGACTTCCAGCTCCAGAACTGTGAAACAATAAGTTTCTATTGTTTATGCCATTCAGTTTGTGGTTCCTTATTATGACAGCCCTAGCAACCTAAAACAACATGGAATAAACAAAGAGCAAAACTCTGTATAAACAAGTTTTCAATTGTTGGTATAAACAACCAATGTTCTTAGGGTTCAGAGAACTCTCATATAACTGACACTGGCATGTCTCTTCAACCACACATACACACACACACACAAACACCTATGCATGCATATTATTCAGAACCAAAAATAATAAACAATTATTTGTAAAATAAAATTATGTTTACCTTTCTCATTAATATTTTCAACATACTCTGAGTATCAACTATGTGCCATTCAGAGTATGAGGCTCAGGGCATAAAGAAGTTAACAAGATCCAATCACTACTGGATGGGAATTTACAACCAAATTCTGATCTCTCCTTTTAGAATACCCATAGCAGTGGGTGACTGTGAGGCAATATTACTTTTGCTGTTTTGTTTGTGTTCAATTAAATCTGTTCTCTAATTGTTTCTTTATAGGGAAGCCTCCTCCCTCACAGACTAAGTTCTGTCAGCGTGTCATATAGAACCAGGTACATAGCAGACATTCAATAATTAGTGATTTATCATATAGTCAAATTATGTCAATTTTATTCCAAAAGAAATAATATCTGGGAAAGTATTTTATAAAATAAAAGGTACCATGTAAATGTTCATGTGTGTTAGCATTATACTTCTAATCATTTATAGCAACAAAAACATAGCAATTCATTTTTAAGTATTTCCAAGTTTATCCCTTCAAAATTGATTTTTCCATGACAACTTGTTCCATTATTGTGAAATATTAACTGAGTTGAATCATATTGAATGGTCAGATGGAACTAGATTCTGAAAAAGCTTCACCAAACAAGCTCAAAAGCAAAATCTTTTAATACACTCACCACTTTCAAAGCAAGCATCAAAGATAAGATGTCCTTTCTTGGGCTGTCCACAGTATCCAGTTGGAAGCACAATATATTTGCTCACATTCCCTCCGATGGCTTCGTCATTTCCCATATCATTGCCTATTTTTTAAAAAATTGGCTCATGTTAAACAGAAATCAAAATGTATTTAGTAATAGAAGTTCAATAAGACTTTTATAAATTTTACCCTCTCCCCTGTCATTTAGTGCTTATTAAGGCAGTAAGAAATTAACTACATATTGTGGTAGAGTAGAAAGCGGATACATTTTCAACTTAGAAAGATACGGGCTCAAATCTCACCTGTACTACATACTAATTCTCTGTGACAAAACAATCAACTTAATCCCTTTAAGCCTCAGTTTTTCTCACCCACAAAAAAGGAATGATAAAACTCATCTTCCAAAATTGTGTTATGAGAATCAGATATGAAAAATATCCAGTATGACTACTGAAATCCAAAAGATGTTCAGTAACTTGCATCGAATATGTAATAAATGGTAATATATTTAATTTGCTACAAATATTTAGTTATTTTAATTTGAATAAAATAATAGTTCTATAACTTCCTGATGTTCCACAACCAGAAATAATTTGAGAACCACTGAATAAGCAGAGAATTTATATATAGAGAGAGAGAGAGAGGTAACAGAAGTTATATTTTTTAAAGTTTTGGAAGTTTCACTTGCACCTAGGATGCAGAAAGCTAGAAAGATCATCGCTTCCACCTTAATAAAAATTATCTCAATAAAGAACAAAATCATAACTTTTAGAAATGTATTAGAGAACTGAGATTGCAGGGCAACCAATAATCTGATAACCAAGGAAAGTCCGGCCCCACCAAAAAAATATGGGAAGCAAGGTCTACGGAAGAGCACAGGAGGAAGAAATGCCAATGCCACAGAAGTGAGTAAAAAGAATTAAGCTAAATTATTTAAAATTATTAAAGGTCAAGTATAGGAAGCACAAGAGTGTAGAATTCCTGGGAGCTATCGGCACAAAGGAATTCACACTCACTTGCACACTATTCTGTACAGGGCTCCATCAAGTTTTTAGGAGAAAGATTAGGGGCAGGGTAGAAAAACAAAAACGGCCTTTCTTTGTGATGCAGGCTAGAGAAAGGGAGTGGCTTCTGTTATAGAAAAGGCATGGAGCCCACCCAATTTCCTTTTCCCCTATGAAAAAAAAGAACTTAAGCCACTAAGGGAGGAAAAGCAAACTTTGTATCCCCAGTGCATAAGTGGGACCCATTAAAGGACGAGGAGCACCAAAAAAGAAAAGTCCACTATACCTGGGGGAGGGGCAGGAAACAGTCCTGGGCCCAAGATTATATATCAATATATAATTGGGGCAGAAAACTCTGTCTCACACAAGACCCATCAAAGATTCAAGGCAGAGTTGAAAAAGGAAGGAGAGGTGGGATCATTGAAAAAATACTCCACCCCAAGACCAGAGCATACAGGGCCTACCTAAGACTGAGGCTAGACCAGGACAAAAGAAATACTCCTGCTTCCTCAACACCAAGATACAAGCAATGAATAACAAACAACACCAATCTGCTTCTGGAGAAGACAAAAGCATGGAGAGAATCCCCATTTGCAGTAGGAGTACCCAGGGAAGAACAGAAGTTTAGGGTATAGCAGAACATTGAGGAAAAACCCTCAATCACCCTAGCCCTTTCCCACAGGAATAAGTAATCCTAGAAGAATCTGAAGCCAGCAGCACATTAAAGATACCATAGCAACAATGAAACTCAACCCAGCTTAACTCCTGACTAGGTTGCCATAAGTCCTCACACAAATGACCTAAGAGAAGAGGTGCATCCATTTCCAGTGACAAACAGTATTTCTATCATTTTCTACTGTTCTACACCAAGTATTCAGCATTCAATAAAAAAAACATGGGGGGGGGGGGCGGGCAGCCCAGTGGCACAGCAGTTAAGTTCGCATGCTCCACTTCAGCGGCCCGGGGTTAGCTGGTTCAGATCCCGGATGCAGACCAATGCACTGCTTGTCAAGCCATGCTGTGGCAGGCGTCCCACATATGAAGTAGAGGAAGATGGGCACGGATGTTAGCTCAGGGCCAGTCTTCCTCAGCAAAAAGAGGAGCATTGGCAGCAGATGTTAGCTGAGGGCTAATCTTCCTCAAAAGAAAATGTGGGGCACACAAAAACTCAAGACAAGACAACCTACTATCTAGGGGAAGCACAATAAATGGAACTAGATTCAGAAATAACTAGATATTGGAACTATAAGACAATGAATTAAAATAACAAAGATTAATATGTTAAAACCTCTAGTGGAAAAGGAGTTCAAAATGCATAAACAAATGGAGAATTTCAGTAGAGAGATAAAAACTACGATAATGAGACAAAAAGAAATGCTAAAACTAAAAAACACAGTAACTGAGATGAAAAAATGTCTTCAATGTGCTCATCGTGGACTTGACACAGATGAGGAAGGAATTAGTAAACTCTATTCCCATAGAAATAAGCTAAAGAGAAAAACAAAGAAAAAAAGGAAAAAGAAATTAAAAGAGAATGAACACAGCATCCAACAGCTTTGGAATGATATCAAATGACCTAACATATATATATCTGGAATTCCAGAAGGAGATGAGAGAGAATGGGGCATAAGAAATATTTGAAGAGATAATACCTATTTTCCACAATTAATGAAAGATATTCAGCCACAGACCCAAGAAGCACAAAGTACAATATATTTTTTAAAACCAGACACGTATTTAAAAATACAAATCACACAGCTAAGATAAAAATTACAGTAGATTATGCATAAAAAACTATGTAAACCAGAAGTCAACGGATGATCGCTAAATTATTAAAAGAAAAAATGTCAACCTGAAATTTTAGACCCTTTGAAAATAGCTTTCAAAAATTAAGGCAACAATAAAGACATGTGAGAAAGACAAAACCTGAGAGAATTCATTATTAGCAGTCTGATATTACAAGAAATGTTAAAAAAAGTTCTTCAGGCAGGAGAAAAAACGATAACAGACATAAACTAAGATCCACGTAAAGAAATTAAGGACCCCAGAAACGATACAAGTCAAGGTAAATATAAATGGTCTTACGTTTAATCACTCCAAAAGATGACTATCTAAAGAAAAAACAGTAGCGATTAATTGTGGGTTTATGTCATATATTAAGAGTAAAATATATGGCAGCAATAATACAAAAGATGGGAGGGAACAACTGGAAGTATATTGTTCCAAGTTTCTTAAACTAAATATAAAGCTGTATAATATTGTTTAAGTAGATGGACTATAATAAATTAAAAATGGATATTAAAAAGCCTAGGGTAAACACTTTTAAAGCTATAAATAAGCCAATAGTGAAGATAAAATAAAACTAAAAGGAATAGTTGATCAATCCAAAAGAAGGCAGAAAACAAGAATGGTGAAAGGGAACAAAGAACAGATGGAGAAATAGACAAAAACTAGCAAATATTATAATTAAATTCCAATATATCATTAAATGATCTTACATTTAATTTAGACCATTTAATGATATGTTTCACAGATAGAGACTTGCCAAATTAAACAAGTAGGAAAATCCAATGATATGCTATGTATACAAAGTCAAATTTAGGGGCCGGCCCCGTGGCCGAGCGGTTAAGTTCGCGTGCTCCGCTGCAGGCGGCCCAGTGTTTCCTTGGTTCGAATCCTGGGCGCGGACATGGCACTGCTCATCAGACCACGCTGAGGCAGCGTCCCACGTGCCACAACTAGAAGGACCCACGATGAAATATACAACTATGTACTGGGGGGCTTTGGGGAGAAAAAGGGGAAAAATAAAATCTTTAAAAAAAAGAAAGTCAAATTTAAATAAAAAGCCATGGGTGTAAGTTACAAGCAAAAGACATACCATGCAAACAATAATCAAAAGAGAGTCAGAGAGGCTATATTGAGGTCAATATAGACTGAAGAACAAGAATAAAACCAGGGATAAGGAGAGACTTTATATAATGACAAAGGAGTCAATTCACCAAGAACACATAACAATCCTAAATGTGTATGCACCAAACAACAGAGTCTCAAAATACATGAAGGATAACTGATAGAAATAATTATATTGGAGTCCCTTCGACACTACAATCTCTGTAATCAATAGAACTAGCTGAAAACCTAGCAATATCAGGAATGAAAAGCAAACCACTAAAATCCTACAGGCATTAACAGGATAATAAGAGAACAGTTCAATAATCTTAAGCCCATAATTTTTGTGAATTTAGATGAAATGACAAAGCAAAGATATTACCAAAAAAAGAAAACTAAAGACCAGCATTCCTTACGAACATAGACTCAAAATCCTCAGCAAATTATTAGCAAATCACGTAAAAACTATAATACATCATGACCAAGTACAATTTGTCTTGGGAATGCAAGATTGGTTCAACATTCAAAAGTCAGTCACTGTAATTCACCATATCAACAGATTAAAACTCAAATCTATATGATCATCCCAGTAGACAGAAAAAAAAATTTGTTTGACAAAATTAAGTATCTACTTTTCTCAGCATACACTGAAGTAAAGGAAATTCCTCAACCTGATAAAGACAACTTTATATATTTATTTTATATAATATTATATATATTTAGAAAGAATACAGCTAAATTATATTTAATGGTAAAAGACTAAAATTTTTCTGCCTAATACCAGACACAAGGCAAGGATGTCCACTCTTACCTCTCCTATTCAACATCATTCTAAAAGTCCTAAACGAGACAACAATAAGGACAAAACAAGACAAAAAGGAAAAACAAAAATATATACACTATCCCTATTCATAGACAACATAACTGTCTAGATAGGAAATCTCAAAGAATCTACCAAAAAGCTCCTAGAACTAAAAATGAGTTCAGCAAAGTTACAGGACAAAAGTCAATGAGCAAAAGTCAACTGTATTTCTATATACTAGCAAAAAACAATTGGAAATTAAAAATATAAAGCAGTAATGTTTACAATAACACCAAAAAACATAAAATACTTAAGTATAAATCTAACAAACATATGCAAGATCTGTATGCTTAAAACTAAAAACACTGACAGGAGAAGTCAAAAAAGGCCTAAATAAACGGAGAAATA